AGGAAAGCAGCATTAGTAGTAACAGTAAAGCTAAGCTAAAGCTAAGCTAAAGCTAAGCTAAAGCTAAGCTAAAGCTAAGCTGAAGCTAAGCTAAAGCTAAGCTAAAGCTAAGCTAAGGCTAAGCTAACACTAAGCAAGGCTACGCTAAATCTAAGCTGAAGCTAAGCTAAAGCTAAGCTAAAGTTAAGCTAAGCTAAGCTACAGCTAAGCTACAGCTAAAGCTAAGCGAAAGCTAAGCGAAAGCTAAACTAAAGCTAAATCTAAGCTAAAGCTAAGCTAAATCTAAGCTGAAGTTAAGCGAAAGCTAAGCTAAATATAAGCTAAGACTAAGCTAAAGCTAAGCTAAAGCTAAGCGAAAGCTAAGCTGGAGCTAAGCTAAAGCTAAGCTAAAGCTAAAGCTAAAGCTAAGCTGAAGCTAAGCTAAAGCTAGGCTAAAGCTAAGCTAACACTAAGCTAAAGCTAAGCTAACACTAAGCTGAAGCTCAGCTAAAGCTAAGCTAACACTAAGCTAAAGCTAAGCTAACACTAAGCTGAAGCTCAACTAAACCTAAGCTAAAGATAAGCTGAAGCTAAGCTAAAGCTAAGCTAAGGCTAAGCGAACACTAAGCTAAAACTAAGCTAAAGCTAAGCTGAAGCTAAGCTAAAGCTAAGCTAAAGCTAAGCTAAGGCTAAGCTAACACTAAGCTAAAGCTAAGCTAAAGCTAAAGCTAAAGCTAAGCTGAAGCTAAGCTAAAGCTAGGCTAAAGCTAAGCTAACACTAAGCTAAAGCTAAGCTAACACTAAGCTGAAGCTCAGCTAAAGCTAAGCTAACACTAAGCTAAAGCTAAGCTAACACTAAGCTGAAGCTCAACTAAACCTAAGCTAAAGATAAGCTGAAGCTAAGCTAAAGCTAAGCTAAGGCTAAGCGAACACTAAGCTAAAACTAAGCTAAAGCTAAGCTGAAGCTAAGCTAAAGCTAAGCTAAAGCTAAGCTAAGGCTAAGCTAACACTAAGCTGAAGCTAAGCTAAAGCTAAGCTAAAGCTAAGCTAAGGCTAAGCTAACACTAAGCTAAAGCTAAGCTAAAGATAAGCTAAAGCTAAAGCTAAAGCTAAGCTAAAGCTGAAGCTGAGGCTAAAGCTCCCAGGGGACTGGGGGAACCGCGGGGCGGGGACTGGGGGAACCGCCCGGGGCGGTTTCCATTGCCCGCCCCTTTAAGCAAAGAGAGTAAGAACCCTTCTAGGCAGAGCCTAGGTAGGGAAAAACAAGCTCCAGCGTCGTGCGGCGGGCGGCCGAGGCCCTGCCGACGACGCTGTGGAGGGCCGAGCCGCCCCCGTTCACGCAGTGGACGAGTAGCTGGTACCGCGGGGGAGGCCGACGACTTCCCGGCCGCCTGGGCTCACAAGCCCTCGTAGCCCCCCGTGAAGCTGCGGCCGCCCTGGGCGCTGTCGGAGGGCCACGACGGCCGCGCGCTCGAGCCCGTGGTGGTGCTGGGCCTGGCGCCGCGGGCGGCGGCATCTGCCCGAGAGGCGCTCTCTGCCTCGCCGGCGCTCGCGTCGGTGTCTCCGTCGACCTCCGTCGGCGCGTGCGGCACGCTCGAGCTGACGGACTCCGTGTCGGCCTCCGTCGGCGCCACCTCTGCAGCGCCGTCTGCCTCGGCGGTCGCTGTCGTTGCCCCGGCCACGGCGCTCGCCAGGCGCTGGAGGAGCTCCGCAAGGCTATCCGCGCCGAGGAGCATCGCCGGCTGGCCGCCTGCAACAAGCCCGGGCGTGCAGTGCGGCGCACCAGGCTGCGCTAGCGGCGCGTGCGCCCAGCCCGCCTCGCTGCGGAAGCTGGCCGACCACTCCGTCGCGAAGCGCGCCGCCTCTGCCGCGGCGGGTGCGTCGCCCTGCGCGGCGCGGGAGGCGACGTCGGCCACCACGGCTTGTGCGAGCTCCTGCGCGCCTTGATGCTGGTGGGGAGGCGGCGGACCTCTCGACAGCACGAGCAAGGCAACCACCACGACGCGCCCGGCAGCGGCACCGGCACCAGCGTCATCCAGGTGGCTCCGAAGCAGTTGGCGCAGCTCGTTCGCCGCCATGGCTGGCCCTCCGTCCGCTGGCGCAACGGCGGGTGGGCCTGCTGTCACAGCCAAAGGTGCGCAGTGGCTGAAGGCCACTGCAGCGCTCAACTCCAGCTCACCCTCCGGCCGCAGGGCCGTGGGGTCTGGCTGCCTCCGCTTCCACTGCGCCAACACCGCGGCCGCCCACCGCCGCAGGACGGCAACCCCCTTCCAAGCTTCCTCCTCGTCGGCCGCGTTTCCGGAAGCAGCGGCGCGGAGGTAGCACTGCAGCGCCGCCAGCGGGCGCCTCTCCCGCAGAAGTGACAGCCCAAGCGACAAGTGAGGCGAGCTTGCCGAGGGGAGCAGGTGGGCCGCGGCATCATACCACTCGCGCGCAGGGCGGAAGCCCTTGGGGCCGAACCGCGGGGGAGCGCCCAGCGGCCCAGCACTGCAGGCAGTCAGCAATCGGCTCAAGTCGCCCAGTGCGCAGAGTGCGTGGTGCGCGAGGCGCCGAGCGCCCGACGCCTCTGCCAGCGAAGGCGGCGGCGCTGGCCATCCCTCCCAGGGCGAAGCTGCGGGTCCCGCTGGGCCGCCGCCGCGCTCGAGCGCAGCGCAGGCCGCGAGGAGGCGCTCGTACACCTCGCAGGCGGCGGCCGCCTCCTCGCAGAGCGTGCGCCAGCGGTCCCCCGATTGGGGCGCTGCCCGCCCGCCCGCCCGCGCAGAGCGGCCGGCAGCGCGGCGCCGGGCCGCACGGGCCCTCGCTGCAAGGCGGCCCACGCCCGCGCCCCACAGCGCGCGGTGCACGCCCTCCTCCAGGGCGCGCCCAGGGCTCCCGAGCAGCAGCCTCTGGCACAGCTGCGCCACCTCGCCGCTGGCAGCGGCTGCGCCCGCGCGCGCGCCGCGCCCGGCGCCCACCAGCCCCCGGAGGCGTGACACCGACCAGCCATGACTAGGGGAGCTGTGGTCCTTACCCCCTGAGGGGGCACCCATCGCATCGACGATCCCTCGAGAGGGGCGTCGACATCGATGGGCCCCCCAGGGGGGGGGGTAGGGACCACAGCTCCCCCAGCTGTGGCTGGCCTGTGACAGCTCGCGCCCCCACCAGGCCGGCGCAGCGCCCGCCGCCGAGGCGGCCGCGGCCTGGGGGCCCGCCGCGGAAGCCCAGTCGCCGGCGGGGCTGGCGCCGCCCCGGGGCGCCGCGGCCGAGGCGGCGGCATCCGCCGGCGCGGGCCCTGCGCCGCGCGGCGCGCGCGGGGGCGGCGCGCCCTCGCGGCTGCACGCAGGAGGCGGCCCTGGGCAGGAGTGGCCCCTGGTGCGCGGCTTCTTCAGGGCAAAAACCGGCCCCCCCGGCGTTCCTGTAGGCGGATACCACGACAGGTTCTTCGAGCCCAGACATGTTCTGAGGACAATTACCAACCACGTTCTGAGAGCACGCCTCCGATGTGTGAAAGCAACGCGGTCCCGGCCAGAAATGTTCTAAGGACAGTTCGTGAAAACCACACAAGGTTCTTAGAACACTGTTTGGTGGGCCTAAAGGCCAACCAGGACGCTTTGCCACTGCTTGATTCTTGGGTGCCGCGGGGGGGGCCAAACGCAAGCACTCAGGATGCTGCTGTCGCATCGCCTTCGGCGATGGAGGGCCCCACAGAGTGGCCGCACCAAGGGGCACTCCAGCGGGAGGGAGGTCGCTCTTGCGTATAGCCGACATCGTGCGTGGCGGCCCCAGGCTGGTCGTCCACTGGAGATAGAAGTACAAAAAAAAAACATAAACTTTTGGAGGTCCGCGCGGTCTTCTCGGATCCACGCTGGGCCCCATCCCTGGCGCGCGGAGCGCGCCAAGGGCCCAGGGGGGGGCACAGCGCAGATCCAAGAAATCCGCGCGGAGCTCCGAAAGTTTATGTTCAAAATTGTTTCTTCTTCGAGGAGAGGCCCAGGGGCGCTTCTGCCGCATGCCGTTAGAGCCAGGCGACTGCGGACGCCAACAGTCCACATCCGTATGCTCGCACGCGGTCGCAGTGCACCCGGCGGGTCGGGGTGCCGCGGTTGAGGGTATGCGCCGTGCGGAGGAGGCAAACAGGAGGGGTCAGAGGGCAGCCAGCTCGACGTTGTCTTATACAGCGGCTCGATTTTGGGGTCAGGGGGCAGAGGTCAGGTCAGAGGAGCGTTTTCTTATTCAGGGGTCAGGGGTCAGAAAAGCGTGTTCTGATTCGGCGGCTCGACATTGGGCAATGTGGGGGGGAGGTGAGGGGGTCTGGCTCCGGACCTCAGCTTAATGCCTCCTCTGTCTGATCCTCCTCCTCTTTCTCTCCGCCTCCCCCTCCTCCGCCTTCTCCTCTGCCTGAGTGCACCGGCACGGCCGATCTCAGCCGAGGGCGCCCAGACTCCCGGGCGACTCGGGGCAGCCGCACTGCTGGGCTTGTTCGCGAGCTGCGTCGCCCGGGCCGCGTCCGGGCCCCCTGGGCTCGGGTCGGGCGAAAGGGGGGGATAGCAAAGGGGGGGTTTGAGAATCAGCTCACGTAGCTGATTTCCCGGCGCCTCCCGGCGCCGGAGGCGGCCATGTATCGAGGAATGGGCCCCTCGGTGAGGCCGAAACCAGCTGCATGCAGCAAATTTCGTAACCCCCCCTTTCCCAATCCCCCCCTTTCGCCCGACCCGATGGGCCCTCAGGGCACGACCTGGCCAGGCACGGCCGCAGGCCGAAGGCGAGCATGTCGCTGCGGGGCCCCCGGGTCGACGCGCGGGCTGTCGCTGCTGCTGCGAGGCGGGTCTCTGTGCCATCGCTGCCGCTCGGGGGATCGATCTGCGGGGGCCTCGGCAGGCGGTGGCTGTGCACCGGGAGGTTCGGCTCCCCGAGGGGGCCGACTGCAGCCACGTCCACCGCCCGCCGAGGCCTCCGAGGCTCGATGCCCCTGGGCGGTGGCGATGGATTCGTCCCCGCCTCGACGGTGTTCCGTTTTGTGCAAGAGTGTCTCTTTCTTGTGGCTCGTCGGGCGCCGTCGGGGTGCTTCGGCAAGGTGCGCAAGACTGCGATATACGCTGAAGGGCAAACCCACGCGCCAAGCCCGAGTCAGTGACGGTCAGCTGCATGGGTCGCGATGTGCCAGAATGGCGGATAGGGAATGTGAGAAACAGCAAGCGCAGCGCAAACCGTGCGAGGACTTTCCCACCCGATCATCCGAATCAGCCCAATATTTGCCGCGCTGTGAAAGTGGTTCAGGTGAGTCGCGTGTGAACTCAGGTGATCGTCTTCTAATTCCTTATTTTGCCGACCGGCGCAGGCCCTCGCACCCCCCCACCTCCCCCACCCATGAACTAGAAATTGGCTGTTTGGGGCCCCTGTTTCAAGCAGGTGGGGTCTCCCCCATATGACGCACTGTTGCAAACAGTGGCGGAGGAGGAGGACGGGGAGGAGGAGGAGGAGGAAGAGGAGGAGGAGGAGGAGGAGGAGGAGGAGGAGGAGGAGGAGGAGGAGGAGGAGGAGGGTAGGAGGAGGAGAGGAGGAGGAGGAGGAGGAGGAGGAGGAGGAGGAGGAGGAGGCGCGGAGGAGGAGGAGGAGGGTGGGGAGGAGGAGGAGGAGGAGGGAGGAGGAGGAGAGGAGGAGGAGGAGGAGGAGGAGGAGGAGGGGTAGGAGGAGGAGCAGGAGGAGGAAGAGGAGGAGGAGGAGGAGGAGGAGGAGGAGGAGCAGCAGGAGGTGGAGGATGAGGGAGGGTAACCTCCCCACGGGCACGTTTCTTGACCAGCGCTCCTCGAGGGAACCCGGCCGTGGCGGCGAGAGGCCGCCGAGAGAGGCCCCCAAGACTTGGCATACAGCAGGCCATGGCCCCCAGCAGGAGCTCGACCACAAGAGAGGATCGACAGGAAAAGTTAGCTAGGCCAGCACTGGCCTCCTCGCCGAAAATATATACCACACCTGCGTATGTCGCGTTCGTAGATCTACGGGCACGATGTCGTATTGTCCGTACGTTCGACGACCAAGCCGAGCTTGGGGGAAACTAATTATGCAGCCGATGCCCAGCTCGAGGCATCCCCGCTGGGGAACGACGTCCGAACCCGTTACCCCGGCACCCTCGCCAGGTGGCGAGGATCCCGAAGCCTGCAGCAGGAGCTCGACCACAAGGAACCCCCAGCCCTGAGACCCCAGGGCGTCCACCGATTTCTGACGCGGGGGCGCCACGCTTTCCGAAGCGAAACCGTCGAACGCCCGAGAAACCCAGTGCACCCTGGAGGCAAGCGGGGTGGGCATGGGCTTCCACTGTAGCCAAAAGGCTTCGCTCCGCGGCCTGCTCAAATCTCGAGCCTCCTCCTCCGCCCGCCGCCGGGTCCGCCGCCGGGTCCTCTGAGCCAAGATCCACGACGAGAGAGCTTCTGGGTTGATGGGCCCACCCTCTGCATGGGCCACCTACGATCCAATTTGATTCGCAAGATGGGCCCACGCTCCCGATTCAAGTCGCTTCGCCTGCATCGGCGAAGGCGGACAAGGAGTCGGGCGCGGCTGTCCGACTCCGACTCGTGTCGGTTCACCGGTATCGGCCAGGGCCGGCCGGACTCGGGCGCGGCGAGCCGATGTCGGTTCGATATGGGACGCTTCGCTGAAGACCTGGTTAGTTCCCGACCCGAGCTCGAGGTTCGACCCAGCTCAGGCCTGCATCTGTGACAGAAAGGCTCCCGACATCCCCAGGACGAAAGTTTTTCCCTCTCGGGCCCAGAACGACGGTGTGAAGTCTTGAGCACACCCGTATGAGATAACCGCCCTCGGATCCCATGGAGTTCGCGAAGATCCAAAAATTGTTGTCGGTGTTTGTTTCGGTGCGTCCAATTTCCGTCCGTACGGATCCGATTTCGGATTAGTTGGATCCGTGTCTGGTCTCATTTTTTACGGCGGATCCGATTTCTACCCTGTTTTTAATTGATATTACGAAATTAAAACAGGGAGCCGGAAGAAATCGGATCCGCGGACCTCGCAAACCGCCCGTGTTAAGATTATATGGGGGAAGGGGGGGTCGGTAATGCGTCGTCTCGCGCACTCCCATCAACTCACCGCGCGAGCGGGCCCCAGTCAACATGAAAACATACATCCCTCTCCCACCGGTTGCTGCAAACAGCTCGTCCGATCGCCGTCCGTTCGGCGGCGCCGACGTTGTCTCGCGAACTCCTCATGGCCATTTTCACCTCAAGAGGAAAATCTTTCGTCCTGCGTAAGTATGAATTCTTGGGCGGGCCGTCTGAGACAAGAGGAGTCCCCTATGCGATGCGTCCCGACCATCCTGTGGTGTTGGGACCTCGTTTTGAAGAGACAGCGCCCCGCGATCTCCTCCCGCCTCCTTCCTCCCGCCTCCTCCTTCCTCCCATCCCTGCCTCTGCTCTCCACATGTCCACCCTTTCGGCACACCCCTCACACGTTTCGCGGCCCCATGGCGTGCTCCGCCAAAGGCCCCAGCGGCAGGGCCCGCATGCAGTTCCACCTCCATATGGGCACACCCCTCACACGTTTCGCGGCCCATATGGTGCTCCACCGAAGGCCCCAGTGGCAGGGTCCGCACGCAGCTCTACCTCCATTCTCGCGCACCTCTCAAACGTTTCGTGGCCCCATTGGGTGCTCCGCCGAAGCCCCAGTGGCAGGGTCCGTATGCAGTTCCACATCCATTTCGACTCATCTCTCACACGCTTCGTTGTCCCATAGGGTGCTCCACCGAAGGCCCCAGTGGCAGCGCCCACATGAAGTTCCGCCTCCATTTTCGCGCACCCCTCACACGTTTCGCGGCCCCATAGGGTGCTCTACCCAAGGCCCCAGCGGCAGCGCCCGCATGCAGTTCCACCTCCATTCTCGCGCGTCCCTCACACGTTTCGCGGCCCCATGACGTGCTCCGCCAAAGGCCCCAGCGGCAGCGTCCGCATGCAATTCCACCCCCATTCTCGCGCACCCCTCACACGTTTCGCGGCCCCATGGCGTGCTCCGCCAAAGGCCCCAGCGGCAGGGTCCGCATGCAATTCCATCTCCATTTCGGCGCACCCCTCATACGCTGCGTGGTCCCACAGGGTGCTCCACAGAGACACTTGTGGCAGGGTCCGCATGCAGTTCCACCTCCATGTTGGCGCACCTCTCAGACGTTTTGTGGCCCCATAGTGTTCTCCACCGAAGGCCCCAATGGCAGGGTCTGCACGCAGGTCCACCTCCATATCGGCGCACCCCTCACACGTTTCGTGGCCCCACAGTGTGCTGCACCGCAGGCCCCAGTGGCAGCGCCCGCATGCGGTTCCTCCTCCTCCTCCTCCTCCTCCTCCTCCCTTTCCTCGTCCTCATCCGCCTCCTCCTCCTCCGTTTCCTCCTCCTCCCTCCTCTCCTCCTCCTCCTCCTCCTCATCATCATCATCATCATCTTCTGCTTGGGCTTCCTCCTCCTTCTCCTCCTCCTCCCCCTCCTTCTCTAGTGTCTCGATGCCGTCCTCATTCGTCGACTCGAGGACACCATGGCTGTCGTCATCGTCGGGCAACTGTCAAGCCCCTGGCCCCGTGCTCGGGTACATCGGCTCTACACCGCTCTACGACGCAGTACGACAACCACGCAAATTCCCCGAGCGTCGCGTTCAAGCGTCCTAGTGACCTTGGCGATCGCCTTAATGCAAGGCGGCTGCGATGTTGGCTGCCTACCTTCCAAGCACATGTAGCCCGACATTGCTGCGGCCATGCCGTTACGCACGACATTGTAAACCACAACTCGCCCTAGCACGTTGCATGGGCTCCTCACTTCGTCTGGTGGTCGGCGGAATCGCGCAAGCCTCTTAAACAGACCTCCACGGGGGTGCGATCGAAGACGAAGAGGGCGGGTATCGGGGGCTCAGGCTATACATATTGTGTGCCGCGCGAACAACGAAGAACGAACACCCTTGACATGATACGATGGTTGCTGTTGTTGATGCTGCTGTTGCTGTCGTCATTGATTGATGTCTCAGCAGCTGCTGCTCTTTTTGTTCCCCATATATGTTTCAGCGCAAAAGGTCCTTACCTGGTTATGGGGTTTGTGGTTTCCGATGCCTCTGTCGGCTTTGCTAATGTGGTTTAGTTCGTTTGAAAGTCGACGGTGGGGGGGCGATTTGTTTCGGTTTCAGGCTTGTGTCCAGCAGTGCTGCGCACTGAAGCTGGCTAGCGATTCAGAGCAAGCACCTTGGCCTGCCCCACTGCGTACGCATCCGGGCTGGAAGCGTCGTGGTGCTGCACTTCGAGGCCTTGCATCTGCACGGCGCAAGCATGGAGGAGTAGAGAGCAATGTACAATGAGAGAGAGTGGAAGTAGAGGCCTCCTTGATGGGGTCGGAGTAGATGGGGTCGGAGGATCGCGCCGCATCGCCGATACATCGGCGATACATCGATGCATCTGCGACATCGGCGATGCATCGGCGTCGTCGGCATGGAGAAACATGGGCTCCACATCGAGCCGCATCGTCGATGCATTGGCGATGCGGCGCGATCCTCCGACCCCATCTACTCGTACCCCATCTAGGAGGTCTAGAAAGAGAGAGAGAGAGAGAGAGAGGGAGAGAGAAAGAGAGAGAGAGACACACACACACATACACACACAGACACAGACACAGACACAGACACAGGCACAGGCACAGGCACAGACACACACACACACTCACACACACGCACACACGCACACACGCACACACGCACACACGCACACACGCACACACACACACACACACACGCGTGGGCAAACAGAGGGACTGAAACAACCGCTCTTGGGCCACGGCCGCCTTCTGGGCCACGGATGCGGCAGCTGGGCCATGAGCTACTGCTGCCAACTCATGCTACACTGCCCGCGGCGCTCCTGGCAGCGACAGGACTGCTGGCGAGGGCGGCACTGGCACCGACGGCACCATCGCGCAAGGCGGAGCAGTGGCGCTCATGACGACGCGGAGCCGAGGCGGCCCCACAGCGGCAGTCTCGCCCAGCGAACGCATCAAGCTTGCGAGCTGGGCGGTCCGCCTCTGCCGCAGGAATGCGAGGTCCAGGTCGAAACCCAGGTTGGCTGCCGAGGCGTAGCCAGCGCCAAGCGCCAGCTGCAGCATGCCCACCGCGAGGTCCAGCCTTGCCTCCACCAGGTCGTGGGCCAGCAGCTTCCGCCTGGCAGCAGGCGTGTCGCAAGGCGGCAAGCCAGGCGCGGGGTCGACGGCTGGGCCGCCGTGCGCGGCAGCCGCGGCCGCCGCGGCGCCCAGAGACAGGCAGCACGCCATGTTGTAGATCGCCTCGGGGGAGTGACGGGCGTGCACGGAGACGTGCAGCCTGTCGGCCTCCTCGAAGTACTGATAGGCTGTCGCGAGGTCGCTGGTGCGCCTCATGAGGGGCAGCGCCACCTGGGCGACGAGAAGACACGGGCCTTGCGCGAGAGGACGTGGCGACGCTGCGCGCTGGCCTACGCGGGTCGCCACCGCGGCTCGCCGCATCGGAAGCGACGGCCTTACGCGGGCAGCTTGCGCGGGAGTGTCCGCGCACAGGACCATGCTTTCTTGCGCCGCGCGTAGACGAAGAGAAAACGCCCAAAACGTAAACAGTTGGCACTCCGCGCGGACTTCTTGGATCTGCGCCGGACCCCCCTCCCTGGAGCGCGGAGTGCGCCAGGGGCGGCGCCGGAAGCGCTGCCAGGGGGGGGCCCCAGCGTGGATCCGAGAAATCCGCGCGGAGCCCCAACAGTCAATGGTTATGGATTGTTTGTTCTTCTTCGAGCGCACCTGATTGTGCAAGAAGAGGTCCCAGGAAGTCTCGACCCGTTGCCTAAGACCGGCTTTTCATCCTGAGTCGTTATATGACGGTCCCAGGGCCCGGCGAAGGCCTCCAGAGGCCGAACACGTTGAATAACCTCCGCGCTGATTGTTTCCAATACGCTGGGTCTCTGGGCACCTCACTGTGCAGGAAGAGGAACGTCGACCCCCAGAGGTCTGGGCCCTTTCCCCCGGGGTCGGTGTCGCTTTCTGA